GGCCTTGAACTCACAGATATCTACCAGTGAGTTTTAAATGTATTTTAAATACATTTTAAATCTTAATGCAAGTTTCTCTATCTGAGAATCTCTGATAAATAGTTTTCCTGAGATCATGGGGGAAACTGTCACACAATTCAGTGGTGAAGTTCAAGAATCTTGTTTCTCCGCTTGGTACTCGGTTACACGTCTTGGCCACTGGAAAGTGAATCACCCTTTCTCATCACCCTGGACTAGGAGAAAATTGCCAAGCGGGGCCGGAAACTGGTAGACTATGATAGTGCCCGACACCACCTGGAGGCCCTGCAGAATGCTAAGAAGAAAGATGAGGCTAAGACATCCAAGGTAAAAACAAACAAAAAACCTGCCCCTCCCCCGAGTGGTAGCAGGCCAAGATGAGTGCAGGAATGATGGATTCCTGTGTCCTGAAGGAAATCCACTTTCTTTTGCCCTGTTACTGTAAGGGCAGTCGGAGTCCTGAGGCTGAGGAGGACTCGAGTCTGGGCAGGGAGAGGAGAGGCAGTGAGGGTGATGGAGGCGGCTTTTAGCCCCTTTTTTATCCGCCAGGCAGAAGAGGAGTTTGGCAAAGCCCAGGCTGTGTTTGAAGATCTGAATCAGGACCTGCTGGAGGAACTGCCTGTCCTGTATAACAGGTAATGACCGACGTTCAAGATGGCCAGCTGCTAAGGCCAATGGAGCACAGAGTCACCTGCAGCCCTGTTGAAGGGTGGGACATGGGTGTAGCCTCAGCCCTGACACTAATTCGCTGTGTGGTTAGGCAAGCATCCTTATCTCTAGACTTGTGACACCATCCTTGCCCCACCAGCTTCTCTGGGTTGAGGACAAGGTGTTTGTTGGGTAGGAGAGATCTTGTCTAGCAAAGTGCTTTGTTGTCACATGGCAAGGACACGCCTTCATTGCACAAATGTGCCTGTTTTAAACACCACGGTTCACAGGCGTCCAGATGCACATAGACCATGGGATGGTGACCCACACTAACCGCACGTCATGGAGGACAAAAGTGTTTAGAGTCAAAGCTTCCATAGGGGAAGAGAAACAGGGACTGAAACGTCACTGTATCTTACTCCCCTTGCCCAAGTTCGCTTTCGTAAGATTGCAGCCGGAGGATTGTATCGCTCAGTGTGTCTACAGCCTTTCTCAAGTCGTCTAGCTGTGAAGCCCAGGCCGGCCTTAGACTTTCAGTGACAGGATCACAGGCATGGCCACCATGCTAAGAGGCTCTGATACAGTTTTCATGGACTGCCTTTATGTGACTCTGATTTTTTGTTTGTTTGTTTTTGAGACAAGGTTTCTCTGTGTGGCCCTGGCTGTCCTGGAACTCACTCTGTAGACCAGGATGGCCTCGAACTCAGATCCACCTGCCTCTACCTCTCAAGGGCTGGCATGTGCCACCACACCCAGCCAGATTACTTCTGTGTCAGCCTGGGCTAATATTGTCTCCCTCACCTTTCTGCACTCCTGGCCCAGCTGCCATGAGTCAGATTCCAGACCACCTGCATCCAGGATGTCTTTCTCTGGAGCCCTGTTGGTGGCGAGCTGGGCCCCCCACCGCCCTTAACCATGCTTGTTTGTCTCCCTGTAGTAGGATCAGCTGTTACGTGACCGTCTTCCAAAACATTTCCAACTTGAGAGATGTGTTCTACAGAGAGATGAGCAAGGTGAGAAACCCCTGCCTCGGTGGGATTCTCTAGTAAACCCACAGTGGGCCTCGTTTACACAGTGTCTTTAGGTATTCATGTTGGGGGCACAGAGTGGCTTTTATCGCCTGATGAAATGATTGTGTTGAATGCTATTAAAGTGCACATCTGTGCACACGATCAGAGCTGTCTTCTCCATCTCCCTTAACTGACTGGACCCAAGCCCCAGCATGGACGTGAGGTTAGGCCTGTGCCCGGGAGTTGACGGGAGAGTATTGGTGAAGCCCCTGGCTGCTGCTAGCGGGTCGGGAGAGCGGTGTGGGAGCAGGAGTCATGTTTTCAGGTGGACGCTCTAGAGGAGGACCAGTGTCCGTGAGAGGCAGCCATAGGACATGGATTCTATACTGTTTCCATGTTAGAGTCACAGACGGCCACGGGTTCCCTCCAGCGTTTACTGCTAACTGAGGATTTACTTAGTGAATGTTAACATGAGCTTTCATTCCCTGAATCCCCTGAGACAAGCGCAAGTCAGACCCCGACTTGAGAAAGCTGCCTCTGCTGCCCTCAGGGCACCGTGGACCAAGGAGGAAGGGAGTAGGCATGGGCCAGACGGGCAGTGCTGGAGGACAAAGGCCACCGGACAAGGACCGGGCGGTTTTGATTGGGAACGCTGACTGGGGAGGGAATGCCATGGGCTCCCATGTGTCTGGCATCTCTGCTTTCTTCCCGGCTCTAGCTGAACCACAGTCTCTACGACGTGATGAGCAAGCTGGAGAAGCAGCATTCCAGCAAAGTCTTTGTGGTGAAGGGACTGCCGAGGTGAGCTACGGGACTCTGGCCAGACTCAGCAGGCGTCCGTGTCCCCCCCCACACACACACACACGCCAGGCCTGCCTCTTGACTCCTGGCCATTGCTGTTTACTCTGTGCCCCACGGAAGTTATTTGTCTTCTCATCAAGTACTTCAGATATAACGAAGATGAAGAACAATAACAATCACATACCTGCCACCAAACGTAGGGGACCAGCTGCTGTGGCCAGGCCCAGTGGCATACTCCTGGCCCTTGGGAGCCTAAGCCAAGACAGTCATAGATTGAGACCATCCTGGCCACATAGTGATGCGGAGATTCAGGCTGGCCTGTGCTGCAGAGTGAGACCTTGTCATGGGAACGGGGTGAGGAGGACTATAAACACAGCTGGGGCCCCCGGTGCCCCTCCCCCTCATTCTGCCCCACCTCCGCCGCCACCTCCGAAGGTGGCCATGTCCTAAATCCAGGCCTTGCTGTGTCTACGCATGTCTTACTTTTATTTCATACATATATTCACATGTAAGAAAGATATTTACACATTTTTAAATTTTATTGCACTTATTTATTTGTTGTGAGAGAGGTACCTGGAGAGGTCAGAGGACACCTGTGGAAGTTAGTTCCCTCTTTCTCCCCTGTGAGGCCGGGGATCAGACTCAGGTCATCAGGCTGGACAGCCAGAGCCTAGAGCCGCTTGCCAGCCTCGTTTAAACTTTACATAAATGGACTTACTCTGTCTGTATTTTCTGCAGATGTTGGCGGGGTCGTGCTCAGGGTGGTCTTTCCTCTTCACGGGGTCTCCCAGGTCCTACTGCACCTCAGGGTGACTTGTGTCCTCTGTGTTCCTTGAGAGACAGATCCTGTTACTTCCCATCACTGGCTTTGCTTTCCTACCTGGCAGTACTGCTGTGCACATGTTCATGACTATCACGTGCCACTGTGCGCATGTTCATGACTATCACATGCCGCTGTGTGCATGTTCATGACTATCACGTGCCGCTGTGTGCATGTTCATGACTATCATGTGCCACTGTACATGTTCATGACTATCACATGCTGCTGTGTGCATGTTCATGACTATCACGTGCTGCTGTGCGCATGTTCATGACTTATCATGTGCCGCTGTACATGTTCATGACTTATCATGTATCCTAACTGCCTTTTGGGTGACTGTCCAGCTTTTTGCTGTTGCAATAATCACATACGTTTCTCTATGAATATCACCAAGAGTCTCTTCGCCATCTCTGAGGAATGGATTGCTAAGGTACAGATCCTATCAATGGGCTTCATTAGCCTCAGTAGATGTTGCCAAATTGACCTTCAAAGGGATCGCCCCCGCTTTTTGGATCCCCTGGAGCTTGAGTTAAAGGCGGTTGTGAGCTCCTCGGCATGAGTGCTGGGAACCAAACTTGGATCCTCTGTAAGGGCCGCAGGTGCTCCCAGCCTCTGGCTGTCTCTCTTCATCATGCTCCTTCATCCTTCCAGGCCATGGCTGTGAGATGGAATTCTTTGCAGCTCCAGATTGCTAGCTCTCCTGAGTGGCCTTTGGGGCTGCTGGAGAGCTCGGGGTTCCCGCTCAGGGACACCCCGTTGACTCTTTTCCTGCTTTTCAACAGTTTAACCTTCTCTGAAAAAGCAGTTTCCCTAGGGTTTTTGTTGCTAGGGTCTGGATTCTAATCCTGTAACTCCATGCATTGTAAATCTCTTTCCCTTGACTTCTCCACCACTTCTGTGAGTCCTGTCTTTTTCCTTCGTGGGTTCTTCATCGTGGGTAGTGGCCCTCGAATACTATGCTTGCTCTCACTGAAGTCTTGAAGGTGCGTTCAGCTCCTTCTGTGAAGAGGTTTGATATGGGTGTTAGGGACCTAACAGCAAAGGAGACCTGGCGGCTTCCCCAGTGTGTTTACAAGATGGTGCTGGCCCAGGAAGCCCGTCTCCATAGCCGGTGCCGACTGGTACTGAGCCAGTGGGAATCGGCAAAGAGGAGCGAGGGCCTCAGGGTGGCGCGAGACCGGCCTGGTGCCCAGAGGAAGAACAGGGCTCGTGTTTAGGGAGGATTATAGACTTCAAAAACAGTTGCTAATGGGTCAGTGTAGACACCTTTATAGACATAGTTTCTTGTTTTCAGCCTTCTAAACTCACTGACTGTTGGGAAAAGCCTTAGATCACACAAAGCCTCCCCCAGCAGGATTTGAACCCGTGTCTCTCCTCCTCCTGCCCTCATACCCAGGACACAGCAGGGTCAGAGCAGGTCAAATTGCGTGTTTTCTGGGTCTCCTGATCCAGTCTCTTTTTCTTTCCATACTTGTATAAAACTGAGATTGTGGGGCAGATGGAATTTTGTGGTACTTTTTACTTCATTTTTAATGTGCGTACCCGACAGTGGTGCCCACTTTCTCTCCACCTTAGACCGCTTTCTTCTGCGTGGGTGATAATTATCGTGGTCGTTTAGGCGACAGCCGTCCTGTGACCCTTCTGAATCTGAATGTCCTTCCTTCCACAGCAGCAGCCGGCGCTCCTTAGTCATCTCTTCCCCAGTTCGAACCTCCACAGCCTCCAGCCCTGTGACCTCGCCTACCAGCCCCTCGACTCTCTCTGTGACCAGTGAGAGTGAGTTTGTCTCTGCAACAGGAGAAATGCTGACCTCTGACCCCGCGGACGGAGAGGACAGCTGTGAGAGCAAGGAGTCCTTAAAAGATGAGGAAGTGGAAGAAGGCCAGTCTGAAGCAAGTTCTTCAGAGGAGGAAGAGCCTCTACCAGCCTGCAATGGCCCCACCCAGGCCCCACCCTCTCCTGCATCCCAGGAGGAAGCTGCCCCCAGTTCCCCAGCCCCCAGTTCCCCAGCCCCCAGTTCCCCAGCTCCGTCCCAGGGCAGAGGTCAGACCCCGACGGAGCAGACCTCCCCCCCAGAAGTAGTCCTCCGCACCCGCACCTCCAGTGAAGGAGCTGAGCAGACCAAAAAAGGAGCCTCTATCCAGAGGACGTCGGCACCCCCTAGTCGGCCCCCGCCACCCAAAGCCCCTCCGAGCCCCAGGCCTGCCTCGGGCAGTGGGCCCTGCAGCCCTCCAGCCTCTGGAGAGGGTTCACCCCTGAGCCCCAGGGCCCCCTTAGAAGCCTCTTCCAATCCAGAAGCACCCGAGAAGCCACTGAGGAGCCCCGAGGCCGTAGAAGAGGAAAGTACCGGCTGTCCAGGCCCAGAAGAGCCCGGTGCCTCCTCCCCTGCGAGCCCTGTCCAGGCAAGTGAGGCTCCCGCTGGGCCTTTTCTGTTTTATTTGGTTTGGCTTTTTAAGCTTTCATTTCATTTTTTGGAGACAGGGTCTCTCTATGTAGCTGTGGTGTCTAGGATGGCCTCGAACTCACAGGGATCTGCCTGCCTCTCCTCCTGAGTGCTGGGATTGAAGACGCACCACCGAGCCCAGCTTTAATACAAATATTTTAATATTGTCTTAAGCATGAGGTTTAAGAGAGAGGGACACTCAGACAGACAGTTAAGAACGCCTGAGAACACAGGTGTGGGCTTCTTCGAGAGAGTTGCTTTTTGTTTGTTTTATGTTTTGTCTTGTTTTTTATAATTTTTTATTTATTTATTTTTTTTTTTTTTTTTTTTTTTTGGTTTTCCGAGACAGGGTTTCTCTTGTGTAGCTTTGCGCCTTTCCTGGATCTCACTTGGTAGCCCAGGCTGGCCTCGAACTCACAGAGATCCGCCTGCCTCTGCCTCCCGAGTGCTGGGATTAAAGGCGTGCGCCACCACCGCCCGGCTATTTTTATTTAGTGTGCATTGGTGTTGTGCCTGTATGCATGTCTGTGTGAGGGTGTCAGATCTTGGAGTTACAGACAGTTGTGAGTTGCCATATGGGTGCTGGGAATTGAACCCGGGTCCTCTGGAGAAGCAATCAGTGCTATTAACTGCTGAGCCATCTCTCCAGCCCTGTGTGTTTTGTCGTTTTAGACAGAAACTCACTACATAGCCCTGGCTGGCCTACAACTCTGGAGCTCACTATGTAGAACAGGCAGGCTTCGAAGCCCAATGCTCCTGCCTCTGATCCCGAGCACTGCCATACAGGCGTGCACCTCCATGCCTGGCTTCTGTGGGGGCTTTGTTCCTTAGCTACAGTCAGACTGCTCCAGAGCCAAGGACAGTCATTATTTCACGGTCTCCACATTTCTAGATGGGCTGGGGACACATATGGGTGCTGGAATTGAACCCAGGTCCTCTGGCAGAGCAGCCAGTGCTCTTAACCACTGAGCCGTCTCTCCAGCCTCTACTTAATCATATGGAAAACTTACCGTAATGAAGAGAACTGGGCTGACAAGATGGACGGGCAGGTAAAGCACTTGCCCTGAAAGCTGGAGTTCATCCCTGGGGCCCTCTGTGGAGGAAGAGAATTGACTTCCTGAAGTCATCCCGACATGGCGCCTGTGTGCTACACACACATGTAGACAAATGTAGTAAAAAACTGAAAAGTAGGATGGAGCTGGGCATGTTGGCACATGCCTGGATCCCGTGACATACCTGAAAGATTGAGGCAGAGTGCTCCAGAGTTCAAGGCCAGATGGTTACAGATAACAAGATCCTGCCTCAAGAAGTCTAAGCAAGCAAGCAATGAGGCTGAGGGAAAAATTTTGTTTAAATGTTGGAAAGGGAGGTACACAAAGGCTGACAGGAAGCCAGAATAGGATGGGCTGCCTTGAAAAAATGGTCTGTGGTCAGGTGCATTGTAGAGGGTCACATGAGAAGACTTTTACCAGCCGCAGTCACGAAGCAAGCCCAGACGACAGTCCAGGCACTTTCCTGGAAGATGGGTTAAGACAGTGAACAGTGGTCTGGTGTTTAGCTAAGTTAGATGCTTGCCTGGCATACATAAGCCCTGGATTTGGTACCTAGCACCCCATTAACCGGGCATGGCGCGGCACAGTCCTGTAATCCCAGTACTTCAGAGGCAGAGGCAGTAGGGTCAGAAGTTCACGGTCACCCTCAGCTATATGGTGAGTTTGGAGCCGCTCTGGACTATGTGAGACCCCATCTAAACAAATCGGGCTGGAGAAACATCTCAGCAATCAAAAGCACGTGCTGTATAATCCTGAAGACTGGAGTTCAAATACCTACCTCATCCACACAACAGGCTGTGACCTGTGCAATGCAGCCTGTGACCAGCTACAGGGGAGGGGAAGTGGGGCATGATGGGAAGATCCCTGGAGCTTCCAGCCAAACCTAACAGCAGTGAGACCAGGGAAAGGCTCTCTGAAGACAGTGAGCTGATAGAGAAGGGTGTCTGCATCCCCCTTCTGGCTTTATACAGGAGTGCGCGCACATGTTTTTAAATGGCAAAGAAAAAACAGAAAGAATTAATAAAATTTAGTAGTGATAAAAGATAGGAAGAGGTTGAGGATTTAGCTCAGTGGTAGAGCATTTGCCTAGCAAGCGCAAGGCCCTGGGTTTGGTCCTCAGCTCCAGAAGAAAACAAACAAACAAACAGACAGACAGACAGGAAGAAATGTTAGGTGGGAAAGGACCTAGGAAACAAATGGGGCCTGAACTGCAGTGTTAGAGAGAGTGGGCCAGAGAAGGTGCCATCTGCACCATGAAAAAGGCCAGGACACGGGCCATGTGGATATCTGGGAGAAGAGAATGAGATTCCTGATACCCCTTAAGTAATACCATCTTACACTGCAGTTTGGCCAGGCTTCCTTGGGAGACTCCTTTGTCTGAGACAGGATCCAGGTTAGCATTCAGGGTGGGCCGTTGTGGGGCTCTGTCATCCGGGGTGGGCAGTTGTGGGGCTCTGTCATCCAGGGTGGGCAGTTGTGGGGCTCTGTCATCCGGGGTGGCAGGGGCCACGTCCTGCATCGTTTACTGTGACCTGCAGGTTTTTCAGAACCCAGTGAAGTGAGGACAAAGTCGAGGACATAAATTCCTCTCAGGTGACTCAGTCACCAGCAGATTGTGCCTCCAGCCTGGGCTTTAGGAAGCACTGAAGGCCCCAACAGGGCAAGATAGGAAGCTTTTCCGTGGCAGTGTGCCGGGTAACAAAGGTGCAGGACACTGGACAGTTCTAAATAGTAGGATTAGAACAAGGTTTTGAGCAGGTGAAGTATGGCCATGTCTCACTTTTCTACTTTGAAAAATACCACTCCGAGACGAGAGTGTGTGCAGCTCACTGGTGGAAAACTGTCCTAAGCATAGACGAGGTTCCGGTGTGACCCACAGTGCACGAGAAGAAGAAAGATTCAAAATTACTGTAATTAGTATTATTGTTGAGACAGCATGTCATGTGGTCCAGGCTAGCCCTTTAAACAGTTTTTAAAGGTATTTTATGTGAACGGCTGTTTTCCCCACATGGATATCTGTGCACCACCTGTACGCCTGGTGTCCATGGAGGCCGGAAGAGGCTCTCAGATCCTGTGGAGTGAGTTGTAGAAGGTCGTGAGCTACCATGGGGCTACTAATCGCATCTGTTTTTCAAAGGAGGGTATTCGGGGTCTTTTTTGTTTTTTGTTTGTTTGTTTTATTATGCAGTGCTCTGTTTGCATGTGCACCTGCAGGCCAGAAGAGGGCACCAGATCTCATTATTGATGGTTGTGAGCCACCATGTGGTTGCTGGGAATTGAACTCAGGACCTCTGGAAGAGCAGCCAGTGCTCTTAACCTGAGCCGTCTCTCTGTCCTTCAAAGGAGGGTTTTATAGTGGTGTATTACTCAGTTGATGGAATCAAACTCAGAACTTATGCATGTTAGGCAAGTACTCTAGCGCTCAGAGACCTGTGTCCCACTCAAAGGAAAAGCATGTTTTGACATTCAAGTGTGAAGATCCTCCTGACACAGTTCTTTACGGTGTGTCTGGCCCGGGTTCCTCACTGTCCCCATAGTGGGTGGCTCCGTGGTAGGTCCTGAGTTGGGGTCCCAGCACCATGTGACACATGGGAACTGGAGACAAGAAAAGCCCTGGTGCTTGGTGACCACTCAGTCTACCAAATTAGTGAGCTCCAAGTTCAGAGAGACCCTGCCTCAAGGAGTAGGTCAAGGGGCCAGGAGGGTCACTTAGCAGGTGAAGATGCCTGCCACTGAGGCTAATGACCCAGATAGCTAGAGTCACATGGAGGAAGGAGAGAACCCAGTCCTCTGATCTCTACACACCATTGCATGTATACACACACACACACACACACACACACACACACACACACACACACCACACACGCACGCGCACACACACACACACACACACACACACACACACACACACACCCCACACACACGTGCAGACACACTAAAGAAACTATTAAGCCTCTTGCCTCTGCTGATCTGTGACCACTCGTTAGGATCACTTACGAGTGAGCGCTGCAGCGTGGTCCTGAAGACGGTCTCAAAGTGACCGGAGTGCTTGGAAGACTCCCTCGTGTGCAGGAGCGGCCACACAGGTCACAATCGCAAGGTGTGTCTGGTCCAGGGAACAAAATCCAGAACCAAAGACCTGACTTTCTGGCCAGCAAGTCATGACGCCCTTCAGATCCTTTTTTTTTTAACCTGTGAAAGAGCACAGATAAGAGCTCATCCTGATGCTCCCGGCTGGAGGAAAAGGTGTCGGATGTTCGGCCGTTGTGTTGTGTATGTGTTGCAAAGTCTAAGACCCAGGGGACCTTCCCTGGGAGACTGGGGTGCTGAACTCTCGCCCACTGACAGAGCTGTTGCTTTTGTAGGACCAAGGCCCTGAGCCTCACCTCTGTGCGGACCCAGGAGAAAACAGCATCGCGGCACCCGAGCCTCAGGAAGAGGTAAGGAGGTCTGGGGACAGCGAGTCGGTGGTGTGCGTGCCCAGCATGCAGAAGGCCTGGGCTCACTCCTCAGCACGTCCTTTAAAAGTGGTGTTATACAGAATATACAAAAACACGTAGACTTACTCACACGTACAGTGCACACAGTAACTCAGAATGTGAGCCGAAATGGCGACGTAACATGGAGCCTCAGATTCTGTGAGACCAAGAAACACCCAAGCAGTTCTCTCAGTAAATGGTGTCCACGTAGTGGGCAGGTTCCTCTGCAATCTTACCACAAAGGCAGTGACGCTGTGCACAGAGGCCGTAGCTCCTTCCTGGGGTGTCCCAGCAGCCAGCACCATAGCGCCACCCCGTGCAGAGGCCATCAGAGCTGCATGAAGTAGAGTTCAAGAGAAAGAGGTGGGGCAGGGCAGCCGGTGGCGCACGCCTTTAGTCCCAGCACTCGGCAGAGCCAGGCGGATCTCTGTGAGTTCGAGGCCAGCCTGGTCTACAGTGCGAGATCTAGGACAGGCACCAAGACTACACAGAGAAACCCTGTCTTGTAAAAAACCAAAAACAAAAAAACAAAAAAACAAAAACAAAGCCAGAGAGAGAAAGAGGTGGAGTTTCTACTCCTCCTGAGTAGGGCAGCATCTAATGCAACCTCATTTACCTCCCAGGCACTGACAAGTGAAAATGCATAACTCTGAAGAGAAACTAAGCTACCTAACCCCATCTGCCCAGAGAAGTCAAGGACGCGAGCCACACCCACTCCGTGTTCTCAGGCAGTGTGAGTGCTTAGCCTCGGACCTGTCATCGCTGGAGTCTGAAGAGCAGCCACAGGGAGAGGGAAGACTTGACTGAGGTTTAAGCATTAAGAAAAGCAGGGCTGTAATAATGCTAACGCCAAGCATCTATAGGCATGTCCACACATTCTCAGAGGAGGACATATGTCCAGCTATCCACTCACTTGGCAAAGACTTAAAGCTGAAAGATTTTCAGATTACTGAATAAAGTGTGATTATGACTAAGTGTGGAGTCTTGCCCTGAGCACTGTTTTCCACTTAGACTCGGGTCATGATTCCTGCCCCGGGTGCAGGAGGGTTTAGTCATACATCTGACCCCTGTTCACTCACCTCCTGGCCGAAGGCTTGTCTAAGTGCCTCTCCATGCCGGGGAATTCCCCCAGGAGCAGACACCGGGAACGGCTCTCCTCCAGAGCTGTGTGTCACCTGTGCCATCCAGGGCCGGGAGAGTCAGCCAGATGGGAGCAGCTGTGAGCACAGGAGGGGAGGTGTGGACAGGACCGTGGTGGGGACGACATGACTCGGAGTCAGAGTCCAGTCCCCCATCACGTGCTTTCAGTGCAAACTTCATGTGAACAGTGACCTTCAAGTCCTTCCTGTCACCCGGCCACCTCTGTTCTCGCTCACCTCCCCCCCCCTTTTGATCTTTAATACAGGGTCTCCTGTAGCCCAGGTTGGCCCTGAATCTCTGCTCTTCTGCCTCCACCTCCGCATTCTAAGATTACAGGTGTGTGCTGTCATGCCCAGCCTGCCTTTGTTCTTGGTCCGATGGACGGTCATCAGCCACTGAAATTCCTGAGCGTGGATAAGGACCTCCTCGGCCAAGGACGGAGTGACAGTGCTAAGTGCCAGAGATACTCGGCGAGGAAGGAGGAGCTTAAAACATCCGTGAGAGTGCTGAGCAGACCTGCGGTTAACAGTGGACACAGGACACAGTGAACATGAGCAGACCTGCAGTTAACAGTGGACACACGGTGACCATGAGCAGACCTGCAGTTAACAGTGGACACACGGTGACCATGAGCAGACC